AGACTGGTGGTAGCGCTCACCTCGTCTTCTCCCAACAAGCTGTTTTCCAGATGTCCCAAACGATCGGAAAGGGGATTGATCAGAGAAAATGACTTTATGCCAGTCCTCAGCAGTCCACTCCCTGTACCTTTTGCAGAATATCAGTCTGTCCCTGGCACTTGCTGGTCTTTCTTGGGCGCCCTGGAACCTTTTTGGCAACAATGGGACCTCTCTCCTTGAAGTTCTTGATGATGCGATAGATTGTTGACTGAGGTGCAATCTTTCTAGCTGCGATTCTCTTTCCTGTTAGGCCATTTTTGTGCAGTGCAGTGATGACTGCACATGTTTCTTTAGAGATAACCATGGTTCATAGAAGAGAAACAATGATGCCAAGCACCAGCCTCTTTTTAAAGTGTCCAGTGATTTCATTCTTACTTAATCATGACAGATTGATCTCCAGCCCTGTCCTCATCACCACCCACACCTGTGTTAATGGAGCAATCACCGAAACGATAGCTGGTCCTTTTAAGGCAGGGCTGCAATGACCTTGAAATGTGTTTTGGGGAATTAAGTTGATTCTCTAGGCAAATATTGACTTTGCAATTAATTGCTGTTACGATCACTCTTTATAACATTCTGGAGTATATGCAAATTGCCATTATAAAAACTGAAGGCGTAGACTATGTAAATATTAACATTTGAATCATTCTCAAAACTTTTGGCCTTGACTGTAGAGCCAGGAACGTCCAGGCCAGAAGATGCCAATGACTTTCAGTAATCTTGCTAACTGCAACATTTTCTCTTTAAATGTGTTTTATGTGTTAGCATAATGTATGTGTTTGTGGCAGGTTTTATATTTCTTCTTGATCTTCTTGAGGTTTCTTTTCCTGTTTGATACGATTGCAATTGTGGAAAACAGATAAGCAGATCATGGTCTGTCTACAGTGAAAAGAAGGACTGGGTCTTTTACTTTTGCTTTTGCCTTTTTGGAAACACAGGAAGGAGCAATCAGCTAAGTGAAGCTAGTGATTGAAAAAAATCTTTCTTTCCTTGTGAGATAGCATGAAAAAGTCAGCTGACCACATTGCCAACATGAGAAGAAAAAGGGACAAGAAATAAAACATAGAGAGGAAAACAGCAAAAAAAAAAGGCATACGGAGAGGGAACAAAGGCAGAACAACTAATGTATGACCATTCTATAAAAAATTCTGTATCTGTATAAGGGATCTGTTGTATGTGTTGTCTTCTCAATTCAGAGGGCCCAATTACTGTCTTTGTCTAGGGCCCCATATTTCCTAAATCCGCCCCTGAGGTGAACACTCCAACTATAACATGGATTTTGATGCATATAAGAAAAATAATTTGTTCTTGTACTAAAATGAAATGCAATAAAATCCAATTTAACCTATGTCACTTCAGTGAAAAGAACATTATATGCAAAGTTGTATGAGACTTGAGAACATTAATGAACAAACGGCACCAAAATGCCAAGTAACACAGAACAGGTGATGGAAAACGCTGAGAGAGGGTTAAAATACAGAGAGATATTATACCGTATATCAATATCCAAAGTTTTAAGACAGGGGCACCGTATTAGGGGGAAAAGTTAGGAAGATTCTAATGGCCTTTGATTGAGGTGGTGCCCAAAAAAAGCAGAAAAGATATGTTTCAAAAGATATTTCAAATCTAACAGGGGTGTCAAACTGGTTCCAGAAAGGGCCATGTGGCTGCAGGTTTTCTTTCACACCAGACTCCATTCATATCATCAAATCATCATGTTCAGATTGGAATCACTTGATTAGATGGAGTCTGGTGTGCTATTGTTTAGTTGGAAGGAAAACCTGCAGCCACACGGCCCTTTCTGGACCCAGTTTGACACCCCTGAAATATAACGAGAAAATTCAGCAGTAAATTAAAAACTTTCTCAGCAGTAAACAGTGAAACAAAGCATGAATAAATTGACCATCCAAGTTTTTTATACACCAGTTTATGCAATTTAATGAATATATATTTCAGTTTTGTCGTGTTCAGATAATTTTCCTTTGTAGAAATTTAACAATAAAAATTACATTGAAAATGAAAATCAGGGCTCGATGTTAACCATTGCCCGATCGCCCGGGGCAAGTAGTTTTTATTGTCGGGAGAGTACAAATTTCATTGCATTTGGCAAGTGCAATGATCGCAAAAAAAATTATTAATCACTTAAAATTACTTTAAAATAACCGACATTTGCTGAAAACGACCCACAAGCGTTGCCAGTGCCATTTTTATTGTTTTGTACACATTCTCGCGTGATTTGAAAAAGCCGCGCGATTTTCCGCTAGATGGAGTGATTTTTCTCTCCTTGGGGAGAGAATTCTGTAGAGTAGCAGCTGGATGATGAATTTAATCTATACTATAATACACGCTAGATTGAAAATGATCAGTCAGGGATTAGGAAAATAATAATAATAATTGTATGCGCACAGTGTAAATATTTCTATCATATGGCAGTCTTCTGTACAGTGGTCATACATTAAAAAATCTTCATTAAATTTTTTTCTCTTAGACATTGGAGTGGCGCATTTAAATGTTATAGAGCTAAACATGTTAAATTGGTGAGTAGTAGTAGTGTAGGTTTTTGACCTGTCAAGTTTTTTTTAGATTTGTAACATTACAATTTATATTTTTCCAAGCACACAACAGTTTAAAGCAGGGGTCTTCAACGTTTTCCAGGCCAAGGACCCCCAAACTGATGACAAGATGGAGCGGGGACCCCCTAATTATATATATTGTATGAAATTGTGTTCTATCAAACTGGTCCTATAGTCACTCTATTACAGATGGAGTAATGTAAGGAAAGTAATTTCTCC